CTCACTTTCATTTCATCGTGACAGGAGAATGATCAGATAAAGATACAACTTCTCTATTGGAATCCATAACTTACTCTAATAATCGATGTTCTACCATTATGTAACTAGTAGCCGACCGCAGATAGCCGAATGACGGCTGCACTGCGGCCGGCCAGTTCTGAGTGGACGTCAGCTGATCACGTGATGTGGTAAAAGGCCAATCACAGCGGCCTTTTACCACGTGATCAGCGGCCTTTTACCACGTGATCAGCGGTGTCCAATGACACGCTGATCAGAGGGAAATGCAAGTGCCGGTTCTCGGCTGCACTTTCCTCACGCTGTCAGATCGTGAGGAAAGTACTGCCGAGAACCGGCAGTTGTCAGAGCGGGGAACGGCACTGATGATCAGGGCACTGCCCCAGCAGTGCCACCCGCAAGTTCCGCCCACCTGTGCCCAGCAGTGCGCCCACTAGCTCCGCCCACCTGTGCCCAGCAGTGCACCCACCTGTGCCCAGCAGTGCACCCACCTGTGCCACTCTGCAGTGTCACACACCTGTGCCCAGAAGTGCCACCCACCTGTGCCCACCCACCTGTGCCCACCCACCTGTGCCCACCAGTGCCACCCACCTGTGCCCACCCACCAGTGTCACCCACCAGTGCAGCCCAGCAGTGCCGCCAGTCAGTGCCACCAGTCAGTGCCCAGGGGTTGTGCCAGTCAGTGCCGCCAGTCAGTGCCCAGCAGTGATGCCAGTCAGTGCCGTCTATCAGTACCCATCATCAGTGTCACCTATCAGTGCCGCCTATCAGTGCTGCATATTAGTGCCGCCTATCCGTGACACCTCATCAGTGCTGCTATCAGTGCCCCGTTTCAGTGCTGCCTATCAGTGCCCATTTAGTGCTGCCTATCAGTGCCCATCAGTGCCGCCTCATCAACGCACATCAGTGAAGGAGAAAAAATACCTGTTTGAAAAATTTTATAATAGAAACAAAGAAACTTTTTTTTTTTTTTTCAAATTTTTTGCACTTTTTTTATTTATAGCGCAAAAAGTAAAGCGCCCAGTGGCGATTAAATACCACCAAAAGAAGGCTCTATTTGTGAGAAAAAAATGATCAAAATTTCATATGGGTACAATGTTGCATGACCGCGCAATTGTCAATCAAAGTGCGGCAGCGCTGAAAGCTGAAAATTGGCCTGGTAAATAAGGGGGTATAAGTGCCTGGTAGGCAAGTGGGTAATCCAACCTAGAATATGTCGCATGTGCAGGGGAATAGAATGTGTAATCTCTCTTTCCTGCCTGCTTCATTCTCCATATGTCCACCAATTGATATTGGTACAGCTTCTTTTTATTAGCTCTCAGGCCTCTACCTCCATCCCTCTGCCAACACGACGATGTATCAATCTGAGGGTTCATACAAAAATTTAAATCTGTTACAATCAATACTCCTTTCTTAAAATCCATCAGTTCCCTCAGGGTTTCTAGCTAAATCATTGGATTCTTATTAGGGCAATATATATTCGCAAGAGTACATTCCATTTCATAAAGTTTCCCCCTTAAGAATAAAAACCGACCCTCTGGATCCACCATCCTAAACTTCCTAAATTTCCCTGAGAATCTTGTGTCTTTTTACCGGGATATTTAGGCCCTTTACTTTATAGGTCATAAAATTTACAGCATTCCTATCAACCATCCTGTACTTTTACTCTCCACCCAATTTCCTTCCTTTCCCCGTCAAATCCTTGTATCTGGAGATCAAAATGTAATACAATTGAAACACTAAAGTTCTCCCAGGTGGTCCATTTCCACTTCCCGCCTCCTTTCATAGTTTGAACCCCAGGAATTTCTTCAACATTTTCCAAACCTCCCCTCCCTCCCCTGTCTCAGGTCATTATGTAGTATCACCATCATTTTGTGAGCATTTCTACAATTTCCATTTTCGTGGGCATCTGTGCACTTGATCAAAATCTGAAATCTCTATTTCCCTTTCATTTTCCATAGTTAAGGATTCTTTAGTCTGATTCAAATTCAAGATTCCTGATGACAAGCTGGCTTGATCTCCTTTGTTTTTTTCCAAATGACATCTTCCTTTTATTCCCTGCTGCCTTTCTGGAGTTTGATCCTCAGGACTTTTCTCTTGCGGGGGCACATACTTTCTAATTATGCTCGTACTTTCTTGTCGTGTTTTTACTCCTCCTTTCACAGATTTATTCTTCATTGTATTCAATTTTATTCTTGCTTTAACACTCAAAAAGATGCACTCTTTCCCAAAAATAGCTGATACTTTTAAATTCACAGTCAGGCAAAACGCTTTTCCTCCTCTCCTTTTCTTCTGTCTCCACTGGGTGACCCCCACTTTCTACTATTTTTTTCCCCCACCAAAACATTCTCCTCAGTGGGGGCAAAAGTATGTAAAGTCCACAAGATACAGTATTATTATTATTATACAGTATTTATAAAGCGGCAACACAGTATAGTATAATGTATGTGTGTTCCATGCTTCTGCAGTAACTCACCACCTCCAATAGCCTCCCCTCTTGCGGGCCACTCACTCCTCCTTCACCTTGCCTTTTTGACTGGTCCTACGCCTGTCAGCTCTGTTGGGGTGTTTACACATGTGGAGGGTTACACTCCTTGGAGATCGCTGCCCAGCATCTTGCACTGGCTCCTCTCCCCTTTCCCACAATGGTGACTTGCTAGATTCCCGGCATTGTCACGTGATCACTCCCAGTGTTCACCACTCCGGCTCTCCTCCGTCCCACCTCGCGAGAGCTCGGATGCTCCTCTCCTCTCGGGACACACCGCCACCACCTTTAGCTCCGTGCCAGACCGTGGGCTCAGCAGTAACCTCTCAGAATGCAGAACAAGGTAGGGCAGGGGGCTGCATGCATTCAGGTGCAGTTCTCCCTATACATTTCTTCCCCTAAGTGGGGACAGAGGAGCACCTAGCCTGTACATCCTTTCGGCACCATGTTCAGGCCCCTGTAAACCCATTGTGGTTAGCACTTCTGCCTAGCAGCACTAGGTTTGTCGGTTTGAATCCGACCCTTGGCATCCCTGCCTGGAATTTGCATGTTCTCTCTGGGTCTGTGTGGGGTTCCTCCCACATTCCAAAGTGGCCTTGGATCCCCCGAATGTTCTACAAGGTGTGTGCTCCATTCCTGGCATGGCTGAGACACCGGAGGAGTAACATACCGGGTTATCTGGATGCCTGCTCCAGTGGGTGGACTCACAGGCAGCACGGATGGGCGTCCTGGAGATCACAATGCTTTCTTGCTAACCTTTGGATGGGTCCTGACCTTCTGACAGTCTGACCTGACTTCTAACAAGGAGTCTGGGGTATCTTGGTCTGGTTCTTGACTAAGCCAGGGAGTTTCTTCTGGTGGACCATATCCAGAAGCTTTTGGCCTGTGCTCCTCCAGAAGATTTTGGCCTGTGCTCCAGTTGCTCTCGTTCCGCGGGCCATCTTTCTTGCGGTCGGGCACACAGGCTCTGGATTGGATAGTGTCTACCTTTTGAGGCAGTTCTGTCTGTGCAGTCTCCTTGAGAGTTCTGCATAGCATAATTCTGGAGGAGTTGTGTGTGGTGCTGAAAGTGCGCTGAGAAAGGTAAGAGGAGAACCAGGGGAGAGCGGAGTCATGGAGGCCAATGGAGTGGAGTTTACTGAGGGGGAGTGGGTGGTCAACTGTGTCAAAGGCAGCAGAAAGTTCTAGGAGTATGGAGTAATGGCCATTAGTTTTAGCAGTTAGTAGGTCATTAGTGAGTTTGCACCCGTATTACACTCATATTTAGGGTGTAACATGTTACTATGCAGCACCCCTACTACCCCCCTCAGCCACACTCCATGTGACAGCAGGCAGGAGTTCTTCTCCCTGCACTCTGTGATATTTTAACCCCTTGGCGCTGACGCCTCCCAGCCCTTTAAGGGTTTCAGAAGCCGGGAGGCGGGGCGGGGTTTTAGGGTCATGTGACCGCCGTGTTTTGCTGCCACGGCGTTCACATGATCGGGAAAGGTCCCGATCGAAAGAGGAGATCGGGACCTTTCCGTGAGTACCGGACATGTGTGCTGGGAGCGCACAGGACGTGCACTCTCAGTACATGTTTTTCTTAATTGCACGCAAATGTATGGCCGCTTGGTGTCAAGGCCCAGACGCCGGGAGGCTGCTCATTTGCATGAGGCCGTCGTGAAGAGGTTAAAAAGGGTGTGGCTGTGCGGTCGGAGATCTGTAAATGAATGAACTACAAGTCCCATCTGCCAACTGCCAGCTGATCTCGGGTGTAATGTCTTGCAGTCCCCAAGATAAAAAAAAAAAATAACAATAATAATGCTGAAGCTACATACAGTTCATATAGCTCTTCGAGCCAATGCAGCAGTTCGTGAGGGAAATAGTTCATTTTGACCAACTTGGTCAAAACCATTTAAAGAGAGAGGAAACCTGGAGATCCACTGTAAAGCAAACAAACTCATGAACTACTTTCAAACAACATGTTCTGAGAATTTTAGAACAAATATTCCTAATAATTTTCTTACGATTTTCATTCAAAATTCTATTCGTGTGTCCAACCTGACAGCTTACAGGCACTAATAAGCTCAAGGGAAGGAATGCAACACTGAGGCCCCTTTCACAGGGTTGGACTCCGTTGGGATCTGCAGGAGATCAGTGGACTGAACAGAATGAGAGAGCCATCCATGTCTGCTCAGTTTATGCAGAACGGACATGGATAGTCTGTTCTGCTCTGTGGGCAGCTGGGAGTAAACAGATTGCTCCCAGCTGCCCACAGAGCAGAACAGTTTTTTTTTTTTTTTTTTTTTTTTTTTTTTTTTTTCTTACCGGATCGGAACATCCAACAGGCAAATGGGTGAAAGGGGCCTAATTGCTTCACCAAGTACTGGTTTGACTTTCAAAAGAACCTGTGCAAAACACGCTGCCTCTAATAGCAGAAGTGCAAACCTGTAAAAGCTGCTTTTTCTAGTAGCCCATAAACACTTATAATAATAGTAAAGTAAATAAATGCAATACAACAATAATTGTTTCTCCAATATTGCTTTCTTTGCTAGGTCAGACTTGTGTTGATATCAAGGACAATATTGTGGATGAGGGCTACTACTTCACTCCTAAAGGGGATGATCCATGTCTGAGCTGCACTTGCCACAATGGAGAACCTGAAATGTGCGTAGCTGCTCTATGTGAGAAACCACAGGAATGCCAGCAATATCGCAAGGATCCCAAAGAATGCTGCAAATTCACTTGTCTTGACCCAGGTAATTTGGACTCCCTTAATGTTTTTATGTTATAGGGTAGTTGAATAATTAGAAGTGTTTGTATCTATCTTTTTTTAGGAAAGGATACCTATGACTTATATTTTAGTGCACATCTGTTGTATATTAACTGGATATTTGTTGTGAGGTCCTGACCAGGTGGGCCTGTGATGACAGTTTATAAAGCAGTGTCTGCTGTACACAAAGAAACCGGTTTAGTTACCTGCCACTAAATAGATGATGTACATATCATGTAACATCAGCAGGATAATCCGTAACCCCTCCAGTGGTATTTATTGGCAGCAAACTTTATATGAAGGGATGGCTACTTTAAGATATAGAGGTAGAATATATATTCATATAACTATATGCTCGGTGTGTAGATTGTATCTTTTTTCTTCTAAAGACACATGTTTAGTCAACTGTTACCAGTTATCAGCCATTTAGTCAATCAGAAACCTTTCCAGTGTCCGGACTGAACATCATGGATGGAGGAATCTCCACTGCTGAAATTAAAATTTTCCACTCAGCTTAGTCGATTTCTAAAACTGCTTTTGTCAAGCAAGGAGCTTTCAGGGCCACCTACATCTCAAACTATGACTAATTCTTTCTAAATTAAAGTTATCTATGCATATATGTTAAAAAATATATATATTTTTTTTATTGTTCTGTGTATACTCTGTTGTACTTCTCAATCGTCTCTGGTACTTGAATATCCAATGAATTGCTACACTTTATGGAAATGAACCAAGTTTTCTGGGACTTGCTTGAAAGTTGCATTGAAAAGCCTTCTTTCTATGCATATATTTAAGCATCGGCAAGAGGAATGCAGAGGGAGGGGCAATTCCTCATGGCCTTTGCATTTGTCTTAGGAAAGTGCTTACAGCCGAGATAAGCCGTTTTCTTCATAAATGTTGGATTGGCTGCCGCAGGAGGGGAGAAGTTGGACCTCAGAACTATAGTTAGAAAGCACTTGGAAACATAAGAAAAGCATGGGAAAACTACTACATGTACTTTGTCCCATAGGGGACAGCACTGTAAAATAAATGCTAGATCTTCTTTAATGAAATATGGGTTGAGCTGGAAGTTGCTTTGCAGCTGGCAAATACGTAGGGGTTTTTTTTTTTTTTCTTTTTATCAAGGTGCCGATAAATAGTGTAAAAAATTAGCTAATACATAATTGTGGTGTTGCAAATTACTTTTGCAGCTTAAAAATGACTGCTGTAGAATGTATCTATACATGGCGGCAGCACCGTATAACCTTTTCTTCAGCATTCTATGGTAAACGATCATGCTTCTTTAATCATGTTTAAGTGATTCTTGGTTAATGCATAAACCTTTTTATTTGTTTAAGCACAACTGAGACCCATTGTTCTATTTAAAGCACAAGTAAATAATTTCCTTGCATTTGAAAAACTAGCATTATAGAGCATGTTTATCTTAATCATACAGTACAGGACTCGGGCTGAATATTCATAGACCCAGGGTTATAGGCTGGTACCTTCAGCTTTGCTGGACATGCCCCCTTGGGCATACCCCTATACCCCCTATCCTACTTCATGAGAGCTTGGATTTTGATAATGTCCTGAGGTGATGGACCTCCTCTTCCTTACAGAGAAATAATTTGCTTCACTAGTTTATTATCTTACTGCAGATTGTTTTCAGTCAACTATTCAACAATATAAGCACTGGATCTGAATTGGTGCAATCTCAGTAAAACCTGGGGAGCTGTACCCTGGGCTTTGCAGTGTGTGGATGGCCTGTATTGTTGCCTCAGGTAATGGATCCTACTTGGGCACTTACCTTGGCACTGGGTGCAGCGAATGTAGTTAATTGCAGGGTGCTATACAGGTCCAGGGCCGTGGTCCATTCCCATTGTTTCTAGACCCTGAAGACCCCTCTCTGAGTATGTCCACCATGATGGGCGAAGCCTGGATCCTAATTAAATACCAGCAAAGTGGACAAGTACAAGTGTAAGACAAGTTTACCATGTATTGAACTCATATTGTAGTCGCACTGTTTACAGGTTTCCAAAATAGTATTCGTTCTAGGATAAAAAGATAAGGAAACTGGGTATGTGTTTTGAAATGTATCCACTTGTATAGTGTTAAATTTTTTAAACTTGGAAGTAAAATTCAGCCATTCAGAGTGTAGTCTCAGGTGGGTGATTAAGGTGTTACAACACACCACAGGTTGCAATATTACCTCCACGTCTGCATGGAGCCCTTTATAAGGGAATCAGGCACTTCTTACTGGACTTCTACTGTAAGGACTTTGTTACAGGGCAGTCTGCACCTGGATTGCTGTGCACTCCTTTATAGACCAACCCCCATTCGCACCCTACTTCATGATTATCCCACTAGGGAAATACCTTCACTAAAGGTAGTGACATAAACCAGGCAAAACATTTGCTCTGCCGAAGGCCTGCAAAACACTCAGGCCCTTTTTAACACTGGTCTGTGCATCTGACTGGCTATATCTCAGACACAGAACAAGCCGCCTATCTGAGCAAGGAAGATCTTTCTACAATTATGTTAAACTTTCCCGTACAATTATCAGCTTTATTACAGCCATCGCTGTCCAGACCACAAAAGCTCCAAGCTCTATCAAACTCGAAAGGGAAATGCTTCCTATAGAGAATACAGACGTTACGGGAAATGAAAGGAACCCAGAGACAGTATTAGAGAAGGCCGGACCATGACTTCATGCAACGTGCTTGCCAATGTAGATGTACTCACTTTAGCTCAGTGCAAAAGCCTTGAAATTGTTACACTTGATTCTCCTTGCCTCACCGATGCCCCCTTGGGTACCTGCTAAGTCATCCCCCATTCATGTACAAATAGAATAAATCCACTGTCACCAATGCTGTGGGTTATTATTGCGCTTACTGTCATCAATGCTTGAGGTTGTTATTGTGTCCACTGACACCAGTAATCAGTTGTTGCTCTCACTGATGGCAGTGCAGGGGAGGTGGGGGATTACATTTCACTGGGGGGGGGGGGGGGGGGGGGGAAGTAGGTGCACTGATACAAGTGCTGGGGGCTGTGATTGTGGCAACTGACACCAATGCTGGGGGTTATTATTGCATCCACTGACCCTAATGGTGGACTATGGCTGTTGCATCCACTGACACCATTGTTTAGGGTTATTATTACACTCACACCAGTAATGGTGGTGGTTATTGTGTCCGCCAACACCTGTGCCTGGGTCCATTATTGTGTTCACTGACACCAGTGCCGGGGGCCATGATTGCAATCATTGACACCAATCATGTTGGGTTATAATTTCATCCACTGACATCTGTGCTGAGTGCCATTATTGCGTCCACTGACACTAGTGTTGGGGGTTATTATTGCGTCCACTGACACTAGTGTTGGGGGTTATTATTGCGTCCACTGACACCAGTGTTGGGGGTTGTTTTTGCGTCCACTACAACAGTGTTGGGATGGTAATTGCATTCACTGACATAGGTATTGGAGTGGTTATTGCATTCACTGACACTGGTGCTGGGGTGGTTATTGCGTTCACTAACACCATTGTTGGGGTGGTTATTGTTCACTCCACTGACACCTGTGTTGGGGTTATTATTACGTCCACTGACACCTGTGTTGAGGGTTATTATTGCACTTCCTAACTTCAGTGCTGGAGGTTATTATTGCATCCATTGACACAATGATGTGGGTGGTTATTGTGTCCTCTGACACTAATCTTGAGAGTTATCATTGCAAACACTGGCACCAGTCATGCAGGGTTATAATTTCATACACCGACTCCAGTGCTGGGGGTTATTGTGTTCACAGACACCATTGCTGGGGGGTATTATTGCATCCACTGACACCAGTGCTGGGGGTTATTATTGCATCCACTGGCACCAGTAGGGGTATTAATCCTATTCTGGACCTATAATCCTCAAACAAGTATGTTCATGTTCCAGAGTTTCACAAAGAATTAGTAAGGTTGGTTATTGCCCCTCTGACTACTGATGCTAAGTATTCCCTTTGCCTCAGTCAAGATGCTTATGTACATATTCCCTTTTACCCACCTCACCAGCGCTTTCTACATTTCACAGCAGGAGACAAACACTTCCATGTTGTCACACTGCCATTTCACCTATTTTCTGAACCCAGAGTATTCACATAGGTACTTGCACTTCTTCTTGCCGCCTTTGGAATTCAGGGCATTCTGGTGACAGGGTACCTAGATACCTCTCTTTTAAAGGGCTTGTCTCCTTTCCGGTTGCTTGAAAACCTCCAAACGACTATTAAGATACTATTAAGATACCCAACTGAAGCGGCCTTCAGTTGGGTATTTAACTCCCAAATGTGTGCTCTCTAACCTTCCCTTCACCTCGTTCTGAACACAGCCAAGGTTAAAGTTTTTCTTTCAGAAAACAAAATTATTCAAGATCTCATGCTTAGTTCCTAAGATCAAAGTGAAACCCCTCCTTGAGAGATTCTCTGAGGGTTCTGGGTCTCATAATAGCCTCATTCGAGGTGGTACCCTTTTCCACATCTTGTTGGCCTGGAACAAGCATGCTTGTTTTCTCAACCTCCATGTTTCCCTTTCCAGCCAAGAAAGGAACTCCCTAGCTTGTTGATTTTCCTATCAAACTTAACAATGGGGAAGTTGTTTCTACCACACCCAAGGAAGTAGATAACTGATGCCAGTCTCACAGGCTGTGAAGGAGTGTTCCAGTCTCTCTCTTCAGGATTATCCAATCAGGGTAAAAGCAAACAGCATCACAGCTGTGGCCTATACCAACGACCAAGGGGGTTCCAGGAGTATCCTTAACTGAAGTAAGTCTGATTTATCTCATGGGTGGAAAAACACTGTCCAGCTCTTTTTGCTGTTCAGATCTCAGGAGTGGACAGCTTGAAGGCAAATTACCTTAGCCGTCACTGCCTGGACCAAGGGGAATGAGGCCTTCATCCCAACACCTTCAACCTTTTATGTCAAAAATGGGAAACTCCAGATGTGGACTCCCCGACCTCCACGTACAACACATTTATCCATGTTTTATAGCCAGGACCATGAAACCTCTAGCACTGGCATTGGATGCTCTGATAGTTCCCAGAACCTTGTTCAGTACATATGTCTTTCCTCTAGTGTGAATTCTACCCCTATTGCTCTGCAAAATAGAGCAGGAGAAGAAACCAGCGATTCTCGGTACACCAATCTGGCCTGGGAGAACCTGGTACACACACATACTCAAACTTCTAGGCGACCATCCCTGGCCTCTTCCAAACAGGCCAGAGCCTTCTATCCTGAGCTGCCTGTTCCATCCTGCTTCTCAGTTGCCAGCGTGGCTTTTGAAACCCAGGTTTTGAGGGACAGAGTACCTCTGATTCGGTCATTTCCATAATGCTCCAACTAGAAAAGCCACTTCTAGAAAGATTTGCTGTTGTACCTGGAAATTCCTCTTTGCCTGATATAAACACAGGCATTTAAATCCCATAAATGTCTGTGCCTCAAATTTCAGCCTTGTCTATTTTTTTCCAGAAATCTCTGGCTTCATTTCCCTGGTAAAAAAATCTTTTTCGATGTGTTTCTAAGATTGAACCTCCAGCCCTGCAGAAACTGCCCTTTGAGCCCATCAGAGAACTCTCATTGGATGATCTTTGCTGCAAAGTGACCTTCTTAGTGGCTATCACATCTGTCAGACATGTCTCTGAACTAGCGGCTCTCTTGCAAGGAGCCATTCCTGATCCTTTACAAAGACAAAGCAGTCTTGCGCCCAATACCTTTCTTTTTGCTTAAAGTGGTATGTAACTTCCATCTTAACAAAAAAAGTGGTCCTCCCTTTCTTGTGCCCTGCTCCTAAGCACCCCAAGGAGATTGCCTTTGTTTTCTGGACCCTGTCAGAGCTAGTAGTGTTTATCTAAAAGCAACAAGTTCTGTAAGAAAGACAGATTTTCTTTCTTTTGTGTTAAAGGACTTGTAAAGGACATCTGTCTGAGAATCCTATTTTGGATAACTCATCTCAAGAGCTTACACTCTAAAGGATAAGACCCCTCCAGTGTGAGTATTTTCTGAGCATTTTGACATCAAGCTTCTGTTACCCAGTTTTTAAAGGCCATCACCTGTTCTTCAGTTCATACCTTTTCTAAGTTCTACCAGGTTTTTGCAGCAGCACTCTAAGTTGGATCTGTTGACCTTTGTTATTGTGGGTCCTGTTGGCACAGTTCTCTTTGCCTTATTGTTGCCCACCCTTCTTGTTCATTGCTTGGCGATGTCCCAGAGTCTATGAATATCCAACCTGTGTCCTGTACTGTACGATTAGGATAAGAGGAATTTTGACTTGCCTGTAAATTACATATCCTTTTGTTCCTGTGTTAGTCTGCATTACAGGCTAAATAAACTGAAATCTCACAGAGTGCGGTAGGGTTATAGGGGTACGCTGGGGGGGATGTGTTCATCAAAGCTAGCCAGTGTCCTATCATCTGGAGGTAACAGCCTATAATTTATAGACCCCTATAGGATCTATAAATAACAAGTCTGTGTCTTATACTGTACTCGAGGATATGGAATATACAGGTAAGTCACAATTCACTTTACTCAAAAATGACCAGTTTCTTCAAGAAAAACATTTTGTTTTGTGAAATGCAGGCTATTCAGTGTGTGTTATTTCAAAGACACTTTATGAGATTTTATTACAGCCTTGAGAAAAGTAAGTGAACTGGATCTTATGAGGACAGAAGAAGCAGAATGCGCAGATGTACAACTGCTCAAAGGGATAGTAACAGCAAAATATGCAGTTTGAAAAATACGTGTTTTGCAGGTTCTCAGCCGGTGGAGTTAACTTCTTTTTCTATACATAACACTGTGCTAAGGATACATTAACCCCTTCAAATCAAACAAATCTAAATGCCTAAGCACAATTCTGCAACGTTGACATGTGTTAGTAAAACCGTACATATTATCACTACTTTGTACATCCAGGCGGATTATACCTTGTTTTTTTCAGGACAAATTGGGCTTTCATTTGGTGGTAAGTGGTAATGGATAGCTCCTAATTTTTTTTTTATTATCAAAGGAAAACTGGCCCAAAATAGTAAAAAAAATATTTTTTTTTATTTAGCTGTGTGCTTCTTGTTACGACCAACACCTACCTCCATAGAACAACCCAAAATAAATTCTCCAGCTCTTGACGATCGCAGCGATACCATATATGTGTATGTTATTTGTTGTTTGTACCCGTAGTACAGCTCAGAAACAATAGTACGCATTTTGTTTTTTTGTTTTTGTTTTTTTTTTTTTTTTTCTTACCTAAAACACATTGACACGGACATTAACGCTGACACCAATTTTTTTTTTTTTTTTTTTTTAAATCCTGATATTTGACCCTGACCTTGACCCAAACACTAACCCTGGCACTGAACTAGATCAAACCTTGATCTAGGTATTTTTCTTTATTTTTTTATTTTTTAATATTTATCTTTTTTTTTTTTTTTTTTTTTAATCTCCGTATGTCAGGAGTTAGAGAGATACAATGTATCTCTCTTCTCCATTCATAGAGAGAGAAAAAACAAGGGGGCCGGGCTGCACAGTGACTGATCACTTTGATAGCCAATCAGAGGCTATCACAGCGAACACGTGACCCGGAATCGGGAGTCCCGGGTCCCAATCCTTAGAACGGGACCTGAGGCTCTCAGTGACACTGCGGTCTCTGTGCTGGGAGTGCGCCGTGCGGCGCACTCCCAGCACAAAGACAGGTACGCAAATAAAAGCCCAGTTCCGTGAGGCCGCATATTTGTGTGCTGTTGGTGGTGTTAAGGGGTTAATAAACCTGCTACCTTTTGACTGCTTCCAGCTGACACTTTTTGACAATGTTGTGGCTGGTTCACACCACATGTGTGTTGTTTTTCTGCTTCAAAAATGCATAGACAGTGGGTTACAATGGATTTCAGTGGCAAATTTCACATGATTGCAGTGTGTTCCAGTACAGTCATCAATAGTAGAGCATGCTGCATTTTATTTCTGCAAGGAACTATGCTGGAATGTGGCAAAAACATACCAGAACTCATTACAGCGCAAAAATAAAAGCCCAAGGTCGCATTAAAAATACATCAAGAACACATTAAAAAATGCAGAAATGCATCTGGACTGCATTTCTATGGTTCGAATCGGCCCCTAAAGCTGACTGTCACTGATTTTTGTTCTCCAATAAGAATCAGAGTTTTCCAATCACATGTCAGCTATGACAGTGATCACATAATTGGAAACAAGATTCGTGTTTACATGCTAGCTCAAAGGTTTACCTTGCCTGTAGTTAGAAATGTGCATCTGTTTAAAACTGTAATTGCCTAACATATATAGTATTAAATTTTTTTCCCATTTTGTACACTTATGTTTATGTTAAACAAAACTTTTTTTAACCAATTGGTGTACCAAAAAAAATTTGCATTGGTCTTAAAAGGATAAACAAATTTAAGTTTTTAGATGGGTAAATTTAGTCCTAGGTTTTTTGTTCCTTTTTTTTTTTTTTTTTTTTTTAAATGATCACATGACCTCTGTTCTCAGCTTCATAAGGGGCTTAGAGAGCTAGGGTTGGAGACTGCAGAGTGGCGTGTCAGCGGGAGGTAGAGAAACCACTGTACACAGATCTTCCCAGTGAAGAGCTGTGCAAGGGGTAGTGTCAACATGAAGCTGACCATATGATTACAGGCAGGCTGTGATCCCAAGTTGCATGCAGAGAAGGAAACTGACCATGCTGGGATAAATATGCTTCCATGCCTGGCGTGGTCAGTTTGAAATAGGAGATTAGGGGACTGGCAAGATCACCAAGTATTTTACACAAATGAAGCAATGCAAAAAGAACAAGATACTTTTTTTTTTTTTTCTTTTTTCAAAGACAAGCACAACAGACACATATCGGGAATATGAAATGTCCGGGTAACATTCACTTTAACTAGAAAGTCTGGGAGGAAATCTAAAATGTTTCTATGGATCTCATTTACACCTTTCTTTATTTTTACTTGCAGCTTGTACATGTATTTTCGGCAGTGTGTATTTCCGTGAGTTTATCAGATGTTTTCTTTTGAGCAGACACTATATATATATTTTCTATTCTTCATTAGACGGAAGCAGTCTTTTTGATTCAATGGCCAGCGGTATGCGTCTGATTGTGAGCTGTATCTCCTCTTTCCTCATCCTCTCTCTGCTGCTTTTTATGGTTCATCGGCTGCGTCAGAGAAGAAGGGAACGCATTGAATCTTTAATTGGGGCCAACTGTAAGTAGCTTCCCTGCAACAGCACTTTTTTTTCCCTTAAAACCTAGTTTTGTTATAATTGTGTAACAGATATTAAGAATGTACAGAATTATAATTAGACCTGTACTATCTGCTTTAAATTGTTTAACAGTGAAATCTGAATGCTTGCTAAAAGTTACATCCTATTTTTTTCTTTATTAAATAGGCCCATAGGTGTGCAATTTAGCCAACAATAATTGAGGAAATAAAAAGTGTTGATTTTAAATCTGCCCTCAAAACGCATCCAGGATGCAACAAGTTATTATCCAAAACCCAGTATTCCCTTCTGGATGTGTAATTATGATATTCTGAGGATAAAACCAGTTCTTGCTATCTCTGCTTTGTCCATTGCATTCTACTTCTTTGTAGCCTCCATTGCCCTGCTTTTGACCAAAATTGTCCATACGTAGGAAGACCTAAGCATTGACATTTCCATCAGAAACTTTTTTTCCCCTGTGTTTCTGCTGGCACGGAAGTCCATTGAAATTAATGAGCTGCCCTGCACCCAGGACACAGCTGCACAGTTGTGAACCAAGGTCTCATTCACACGTAAGTTTGGGGGGGGGCATTAGAACCACACGGTTGAACCACGTTTTTACCACCCCAACTGCTGCCCCTTTAGTTGCAGTGGCAACAGCCAGGGACATTTATATGTTTTGGCTGGAATAATACCACTAGGTGAATGGGATCGTACATCAACCACGTTCATTGCATGTAAGAAGCATAAAAGGTTAAGCGAGCGCTACAATAAAGCTGCTGTGACACCAAAAGGTACCAAGAAAATCTCCTAGATCAATCAAGTAAAAAATAGATGCAGCGCTGGGATATATGATAGGAATAAAGTGCAATATATGAGGTCCATTGATCTGTCACTCTGCAGATTGCGCAGAAGGTATTTAATAGAAAGATAAGTAGTAACTCACATCTTAGATTTTAAAAACAGGCTGATGGATAAGAGGGTGAGACGTCTATAGCCAGATGTTGTTGTGTGACTGATCCAGAGAGGAGATCGATTGAGTCCGCCAGCAGGTGGTGCTGTGCATGTGCAACATGGATGGTAAGCCTCGTGGAATCTCCAAGGTGTCTGCCAGCAGATGGTGCTGTGCATATGCAGCATAGACATCTTGGAGACTCTGCCAGGCTTCACCATCTACCTGTATGCTGCATATGCACAGCACCATCTGCTGGCAGACACCTTGGAGATTCCACCAGGCTTACTATCCATGTTGCACATGCACAGCACCACCTGATGACGGACTCAATCGATCTCCTCTCTGGATCAGTCACACAACAACATCTGGCTATAGACGTCTCACCCTCTTACCCATCAGCCTGTTTTTAAATTCTAAAATGTGAGTTACTACTTATTTTTCTATTAAATACCTTCACAGTACACACTTAGAGGCGCTATGTTTCTTTGTTTCTAATCAATTTGAACATGTCTGCCCTCCAGCCTTCTATTCATCTAGAACATTTGGGCCTCATGACATTGCCCAGGAAAAATTTGTCTTTCAGAATTGCCTTCCTAAGATGACCTGTTTGGACCCTAAGTTCAAAAAGGCATTTTTTAGTGGGATTCTCCATAGGGGGCTTGAGGTCTCATGGTAGCAACATTTGAATCTCTTGTTTCACTCTGTTCTACTGCAGGCTTCTTAAACACAACATTCTGTTGGCCTTGAACAAACACACTCCTACTTTTGATCTTCTATGCTTCTCTCCAGTCAAGCAGGGAACTTCCTCACTTAGTGGACTTACAATACAACCTTGGAAATTGGATATAATTTCCTCTTCCATGCTTATGGCTAGTGGAAACAGATGAGAGCCTGGGAGGCTGGAGTGGAGTATTCCAGTCTCTCATTTTTGGAAACTTGATCCCTAAGGAAAGCAAACATCCTGGATCCCAGAGCAATAAAACTAGCTCTGCGTCACTGGCCTCCCCCTTCTTCAGAGACACCCGATCGGGCGCAGTCAGACTTTGCTACAGCAGTGGCCTAAATGAGTTATTAGGGATTACCAGTAGTAGGGCAGCCCAAAAGTAAGTAAGTCTGATTCTATCTTGGGCAGAGAACCACTGTCCAGCAATCTCTGCTATTTACATACTGGGAGTGGACATTTGGCAGGCTGATGTTCTCCGCCATCACTTCCTGAACCAATGGGAATGGTCCCTTCATCCTGACATCTTTAATCTCTTATGTCAGAAATGGGGGAGCTCAAAGATGTGGACATTCTGTTTGTGGGCAGGTCCAAGGATCTTTTAGTACTTATGTGAGATGCCCTGGTTATTTCCTGGACTCCATTCTGTTTAATATATGCCTTCTCTTTAGTGCAGTTTCTTGACTGTGCTGAAAAATAGAAAATAAAGAAGAAATTAGTGATTCTTCTTTCACCAATTTGGCCCAGAAGAACCTTGTACACAGACATACTCAAAGTTATGGGAGATGACCCCTGGCCTCTTTCAAACAGGCTAGGCCTGCTGTCTCTAAGCCCCTGCTCCATCCTGCTTCTCAGTCACTGGCTTTAATGGCATGGTAGTTGAAATCTAGATCTTGAAGGACAGGGGTATCCCCAACTCTCATTCCCACCTTACTCAGAGTCAGAAATACCACTTTGCTAAAAATCTACTATTGTACCTGGAGAGATCTTTTCAGGCCATCTTCCCTCTTTCCTGGGTTACCTCTGCTCTACTGGGGTGGGGCTATGGTAGCATGTCTCGGGGGTGTGCCAAGCAAAACTGCTTTTGTGTGCAAACATATGAAGATAGCAGCCTATAACCCAGGATCTATAAATATCTAAGTAAAATCAAACAATAACCTCCTGCGCTCAAGTATAGAAAGGATACAAATGTTACAATCAGTGTTGCTCAGGAAAAAAGCTCTTTTTCAAAACAAATGAACACCTAATAGGATTCACAACCTTGCAGCTCTCTTTGAACTGGGAAGTCCTTGGTAAACACTATGAAATAAGCAGTGTGCACTGGTGTAGTGCATACTCCTCAAAACTTTATTTTATTAACCACTTGCTAAACGTGCTACAGCTGATCACTTGATGAGGTAAAAGGCCAATCACAGCAGCCTTTTGCCACATGGTCAGCTGTGTCCAATGACACAGCAGATCACGGAGTAAATACAGTTGCTGGTTATCAGCAGCACTTTCCTCACACTGTCACAGCGTGAGGAAAGTACTGCCGATAACCGACAGCTGTCACAGAGCAGATTGGCACTGATGATCAGTGCTGCCCAGCAGTGCCACCCAGCAGTTGCGCTCATCAGTGCCTACCAGTGCTGCCCAGCAGTGCTGACAGTCAGCACCGCTTATCAGTGCCCATCATTACTGCATATCAGTGCAGCATCATCAGTGCTTCCTCATCAATGCCCACCAGTGCCTCCTCATCAGTGCAGCCTATCAGTGCTGTCTATCCGTGCCACCTCATCAGTGCCCATCAGTACCCATCAGTGTAGCCTCATTAACGCACATCAGTGAAGGAGAAAAAATTACCTGTTTACAAAATTTTGTAATAGAAACAAAGAAAAACCTTTTAGCAAAAAATTTAAACACCCAGTGGCGATTAAATACCACCAAAAGAAAGCTCTATTTGTGTGAAAAAAAATGATAAAAATTGCATTTGGGTATAGTGTTGCATGCATGACTGAACAATTGCCATTCAAAGTGCGACAGTGCTTTAAGCTGAAAATTGGCCTGGGCAAGAAGGGGGTAAAAGTGCCTGGTAGGCAAGTGGTTAATGTATTGTAATTGCAAAAGGACTAGAAGTACAAATCTTTCATAGAGTCCGAAATATCTCTAACCAACAGGCATAGCTGTCCAACCATCATTGCTTGACTGCTAATATAAGCACCATCTCAGTGTTGTATCCTAGCGCATGTGTTTTGAGGGTGCGCCCTATGGCTGGCTCTAATGAAGGCGTGCCCTCTAAACGTGTAAGTCACAATGCAACACCAAGATGTTTTGTCATACAACTGTTCATTTAAACAATATTAAATGATCGGTTACAGATGCACAGAACATATAGGCAAAATGTGAAATATCAAAGATAAGCAAAATAATGATGTGCCGATATACTGTCTATCAATAGAAATTAAAAATCTTCTATTGGTATAATCTGTTCATCTGAGCACTCAAGGTTCAGGCCTCAGCAGCACTGGGGAGACCTTGAAAATAGAAGTGTAAATGATAAGGCAGAAAAGAGAATCAGTATTAATATTGGTAACAAGACAGGGAAGAGGGATTGTAGCAATAAAACAAATATGACCTGGAGGGGTCCAGATACGGACAATTAAAGGTGAAAGGGAGTCTAAAAAGTGTACTGCCTATCACACATGGAGACGTGCCCAAAGATACAGACAAATTCAAAAGAAACCCAAAATAACACAAGTTAGGACCTTAGGTAATGAGAGATCGCAAATCTGTGCTATTGCTGTATGCCTGCCAACAAGTCCAAGTGGTATGAACTTTTTCGGTATCTGCCTTATTCTCCACCACCAGCATCTCCATTGCCATTATGTCATTACGGATCTGGGTCCACACCAAATGTTAGGGAGGAGAGATACTTTTTCAATGATGAGAAATGGCAACTCTGGCAGCCAGAAGGCAGTGCCAGAGAATGTCCTTTTTTATTTTTGAAATGGGCCCAGGACTCATAGACAGAAGAATGATTTGAGGGGTTTGCATGGATGTCTGTGATAGCATTTTCTATATTGTTTCAGGTGAGCTGGAGATCAGTTACAGTGAAGGAAATAAGTATTTGGAGATCCGTCTGACCTCAGTACTTGGTGTCAAATCCCTTGTTAGCAATCACAAAGTCATGTTTTGTGAAGGGGATCAAATACTTATTTCCCTCATGAACATGCAAATCAGTGCATAATTTGTTAGACATGCATTTCTTTTGAATTTTTTGTTGCTATTCTGTCTCTCAGTGTTACAATACACCTACCATTCAATTTTTAGACTGATCATTTCTTTGTGAGTGGGCAAATATTCAAAATCCGCAGGGGATCAAATACTTATTTCCTGCACTGCAGTACCACATCCCATATCGTAAGTAACCAACAATGTACAGAGAGGAGGGGATTTTTGAGGTGCTCAAAAGATTTCAAACATTTTGATATTGTACTAAAATCATACAAAGCTTTATTCCGTATTGTCATGTAAAAAACTACATCACATTAGTAGTTATAAGAGATTTAAAACCAACAAGATACTCCATATAGCTTGAATTTCACTATGTAACAGTTCACACTCAACATGTTTTGCCAAATTTCTGGCTTCTTCAGGAGTTTTACAGATAGTTGCATATAATTGCCACTAGGAGAAACTACAATGTAACAATTAAAAAAAAAAAAAAAAAAAAAAAAAATTGTAATCAACAAAAATAATACCAAAGTCATCAATACATCATAGTCACACATAGTTGAAACTACACTTACTAGATATAGGTTTTTATAAGGTTAACCTGCCAAGGCTGTTACCAGGTGTATCTTCATTATGGGAAACCCAGCAAACCAGCATCCACTTCTATGTCCCTAGGAGAGTCCAAGATGAAACAAAAGAGGGAAACTGCTGTAACCCACCAATACGAACATCCCTACTAACAAACCGATCAATACAGCACAGAGAGAGAGGAAAAAAAAACAACATAAACATATGTGTTAAGCAGGCAAAAAATGCCCTATACCTACCACAAAAGAAATGGAGCGTAAAAACTCATAGGCTAAGTCATTCGCCTCGAATGATATAAAGTTTAGTATTGCCAGCTAATTGCCCCAGGAAACACAAGAAGGACCACACCAAACAGCAGGCAACAGCTCCACCAAATATGGTGGTAGATGCCCACTTCCTCCAAACATCTCTAACATGTGTTAGAGTCAGATGGATATGTAGGCTTCAGACCCACTGGGTTCCTGTACCAGAAGATTATTGCAACTTTTTTCCTGGAAATAGGGAGACATGGAAATTTTGTGAGTAAAAATTAAGCATTTCTTCCAGTTGTCCTCTAAGATCGAGGAACCCAGGTAGGTCTCCTATTTGGAGAGAAAAGGGAGATTGGTGGCGTAAGCCCCCCTATCTTAGCATAAAGTATAACTGGGAAACTGTATGATCAGGGGCTGCATCTTAAGAAAGTATTTTCCTTTTCAAAGGATAAGTGAAAGTAATGTCAAAAAGAGTAACAAAGGAGGTATCCACAGTACAGCCTGAAGGTCCAATGAGTCTCGCTTAAGATGCACCACCTGCTTGTCAGTGTTGTGGTGAAACAATCCACTACTCTATTTGATACAGCTGCTCTATGGTAGAGTTCGAAATCAGAAAGGCCAAGACCCCCCTGCAGATTCCAGTTTAGAGAGAACTGTCAATTTAATTTGGGGCTATGCCATGTGCAATGTGTTATCCAAAACTGCAACTGATTTGGAGATACATAATGGATAAAAAATATACAGCAGTCGTGGGAGTATGTCCATTTTTTTAATGTGTTGATGCGCCCAAACCGGGAAATCTTCTGAGATTTCCAATGGATTAAATCAGTTAAGATATCTGTAAGAATTCTGATATTGTTTTAGGCTCCTTGCACACTGGGCTTAAAAAACGCTCATAGAGCATTTTTGTACCTGTTAGGAGTGTTTAGCGCTATTTCTGACAGAAACTTCTAATCACAAATGCAAATCAGAAGGGTTTTTTTTTTTCCTGCCTCTAAATGCTGAGCTTAAACTATGCCTCTAAACGTCCTAATGTTCATAGACACATATGATAATGCTGAGCTGCTTCTAGAGACAAAACTCCTGTAGTAGAGTTTTTTAAGCCTGTGTGCATGGACCCTAAGTAGTAACGGGATGAAGGATCAGAGGAAATACGGGTCCCTAGATAAGTTATGTAATTATGTTTAGTTTTTTAAAGGCAACTCCCGACATAGATGAGCTTGCATAGACGACAAAAGGGTAACATTTAAGATTTCTGAGGTTACCGAAGTGCTCAAATTTACGTAGAATGTTTGGCAGGCTAATGGAAGGTTGGGTAGTGAATAGCAAGAGATCATCTGCAAAAAGACATCTTATGTGAGTGAGTGCCTACCTGGATACCTTTTGATTGACTCATTGGCTCTCAGGGCTGCTGCTAGCGTCCGATGCTCCATTACTAGAACGTAGAGCAGGGGGGATAGTTGGCATCCCTGTCTGCTCCCATTAACTGGAAAAAGGCTCTGATAGTACCCAATTCAATTTATTCTGGCTGATTGATTTTGATAAAGAGCCATGATCCTATGAACTAGGGTGTCTCCAAGAGCAATCTGGTGCAGAGAGGCTTCTAGAAAGGGCCAGCTGACCCTATCAAAGGCCTCTTCTGCATCCACAATAAGAAGACACAGAGGAAGGCGCTGGGGGTGAGCATAACCAATGATATCCAGAACTTTAGAGGTATTATCTCTCACCTCCTTAGACCTTACAAAGCCAACCTGATCTCTGTGAATCAGGAAGGGGAGAAGAGGCTGGAAGTGATAAGATACCAATTTTGGCAAACAGTGTCACATCAATTTGAGAAATTGGCATATAGCTCCCACAATTGGTCAAGTCTTTACCGGATTTAAGGATGACCGTAAATTGTTAAATCCTCATGTATAATGGAGAATGGATGTAGCTATGCACACTCTGCTATATACTGCAATTTATTTGTACACCTTGGCATGCATTTTATGAACTCTTCATCAAGTGCAGGCAGTGGTATGAAGCCTGCATTGTCCCATAATTTTCTCTGCTTGAAGCAGCAATTGGTGATTGGAGATTTGACGTTGGCAGGTCACGCAAGTCGCTTTTTTTTGTTCTTTTTAAATCCATTTGGAAGAATAGCAAACCACTGGCTTCAGGACAGCGGTTGTGCTTGATAAATGCACTCTTTTTATATTTTTTTAAAGTAGCAGTCATACTGCTACCTTATGAGTGAATGTATAATAATCATTTTTAGACTTGGATGGTACAAACTCTTTTTTGCTTCTCTGTAGATTTTTGAGAGCTTCACTATGCCACTGACTTCAGTTTCCTGTTGTGTGGTGCACCACTGCTTGCTTCATAAACAGCTTTTGGACCCGTAGTTCTGGACCAGCTCAAAGCTTTTCAATTGTATTGGTTAAATGCCTATTTAATGTCGGTAGGTAGGTCACTAGGATAGATAACAGCCCTGGAAATAAACAAGATCAGCTGTAGCAGTCTGTATTTCTGTTCTCACTGGGTCATCTGTGCTTGTTAAATAGAATCACCTGAAATCACCACTTAGTTACTGCATTTAGTAGGCTTTTATTTAACAGAGGAGGTGTTTCAAATACTTATGTTTTGTCTGTTATAGTGCATCACTTTAACCTGGGTCGCAGAATGCCTGGTTTTGATTATGGACCTGATGGTTTTGGTACTGGGCTTACCCCCCTTCACCTGTCTGATGATGGAGAAGGTGGAGCGTTCCACTTCCATGAACCTCCTCCACCTTATACAGCCTACAAATACTCTGATATCCAGCACCCTGATGATCCTCCACCACCATATGAAGCATCAATATGTCCAGACATCATACTGTGCTCAACAACAGGTGAGATTGCTTCTGATTATTATTCACCCTCAAAAAAAAAGTGCATGTTTTTGTTTTTTTTTTTTCTCTGAAATTCAAAGTGCATAGGTTAAAACCTTTTCCTACAAAGTAGGGAGCTAGACATTTTGTTGCCTAATATTTCCATGCAGATGGCAAGCAACAAAGTACAAGAGCCACAGGTTCAAGGATGTGATAGCGCAGACTATTTTACTTTTAATTTACGTGCGGTATCCAGTGGTAGACTAATGGTCACACTCCCAGAACTTTATGTAAAGAACTGTGCAGTCAGCACATCACCAAACACAAAGCAAATAGTTAAATTCCATAATCTCCATTACATGGTGCAACTGCACATCATCAGTAGGGAAGCTAAAAAAACAGGCCGGAGGGGGTTAAAGCAGACTTCCAGCTATTTTAACAACACACACAGAGGGTGTGTAACCATCATGCTAGGCTTACAGGTAACAGAATGATGCTGATTGTTCTGCCTGAAGTAAACTGGCAGCGCTCGACTGAGGAATTTGGGGACAGAACTGGAGCATGAAGGGGGCAGGTAGAACTTTATTAAAAAAAAAAAATATATATATATATTTATATATATATTACTTAGAAAATTAAAGGGACACTTTGAAAACACATCAGATCTCAATGGGGAAAAATATCATGCAGGATATCTATACTGATTCAAAAAGTTTCCTCAATATAAACATTGTGTAAATATTGTTGTCTGTGTGTATATGTGTGTGTGTGTGTATATATATATATATATATATATATATATATATATATATATATATATATATATACACACACACACACACTATAATGCCAAAAGTATTGGGACACCACTCCAAATCATTGGATTCAGGTGTCCTGGCCACAGGTGTATAAAATCAAGCACCTAGGCATGCAGACTGCTTCTACAAACATTTGTGAAAGAATGGGTCGCTCTCAGGAACTAAGGGAATTCAATCATGGTCAACTGTTAGTGGTATTATAACACAGTGGAAGCAAGGTCAACTCAGCCATGAAGTGGTAGGCCACGTAAAATGACAGAGCTGGGTCAGCGTATATTGAAGTGCGCAGAAGTCGCCAACTGTCTGCAGAGTCAATAGCTAAAGACCTCCAAACTTCATGTGGACTTCAGATTAGCACGACAGCAGTGTGTAAAGCACTTCATGGAATGGGTTTCCATGGCTGAGCAGCTGCATCCATTCAAACCTTACATCACCAAGTGCAATGCAAAGTGTCAGATGCAGTGATGTAAAGCACACCGCCACTGGACTCTAGAGCAGTGGAGACGTGTTCTCTGGAGTGGCGAATCACGCTTCTCTGTCTGGCAATCCAGTGGACATGTCTGGGTGTGGTGGTTGCCAGGAGAATGGAATTTATCTGACTGCATTGTGCCAAGTGTAACATTTGGTGGGGGGGGGGGGGGGGGGGGTTTGGGGGGGTTTGGGCCCTTAGTTCCAATGAAGGGAACTCTTGAGGTGTCGACATACCAACCCATTTTGGACAATTTCGTGCTCCCAATTTTGTGGGAACAGTTTGGGGATGGCCCCTTCCTGTTCCAACATGACTGCGCACCAGTGCACAAAGCAAGGTCCATAAAGACATGGATGAGCGCGTTCGGGGTGGAGGAACCTGACTGGCCTGCACAAAGTCCTGACCTCAACCTGACAGAACACCTTTGGGATGAAGTAGAGTGGAGACCAGACCAGGCCTTCTCGCCTAACATCAGTACCTGATCTGACAAATGCGCTTCTGGAAGAATGAATAAACATTCACATAGACACATTCCTAAACCTTTTGGACAGCCTTCCCAGAAGAATTGAAGCGGTTTTAGTTGCAAAGGGTGGGCCAATTCAATATTGAATCCTATGGACTAAGACTGGGAGGCCATTAAAGTTCACAGTTTGGCCATCCCCAAACTGTTCTCACAAATTGGGCAGCACAGTGGCTAGATGGTTAACACTTCCACCTGGCAGTAATAGGGTCATTGGTTCAAATCCCAACCACGGTACCACCTGCCTGTAGTTTGCATGTTCTCCCTGTGTGCTTGCGTGGGTTCCCTCCCACATTCCAAAGACATGCTGGTAGGTTAACTGGTTCCTGTCTAAATTGACCCTAATATGTATGAATGTGAGTTGGGGACCTTACATTGTACTCTCATTGAGGGTTAGGGATTGACGTGAATGTACAATGTGTGTGTGTGTGTAAAGCACTGCGTAAATTGATGGCACTATATAAGTACCTATGATAAAATAAAATTTCCAAAATGTCTAGAGTAAAAAGAGAGCGAGAGGGAGGAGCCAGCTAACTGCAGTATTAGGTTGGAACATTTATTAAAACCAGTTAAAAACACTCACAAGATAACTGAGTTACAAAGGCTCTTCAATATGGGTAAAGACAACTGGTCCTGTTTTTGTGCGGCAGATCTTTTCTCTTTTCCAAAATGTGTTGGTATGCTGACGTCTTAAGAGCCCCCTTCACTGGGGCCAAGCCCAGCCTCTGAAAAACAACCTCACACCATAATCCCCCCTCCACCAAACTTTACACTTGGCAAAATGCAGTCAGGCAAGTACTGTTTTCCTGGCAACCGCCAAACCCAGACAAGTCCATCGGATTGCCAGACAGAGAAGCGAGATTCGTCACTCCAGAGAACAAGTTTCCACTGCTCTAGAATCCATTGATGGCGTGCTTTACACCACTGCTTCCAACGCTTTGCATTGTACTTGGTGATGTAAGGCTTGGATGCAGCTGCTTGGCCATGGAAACTCATTCCATGAAGCTCTCTACGCACTGTTGTTGTGCTCATCTGAAGGCCACATGAAGTTTGGAGGTCTTTAGTTATTGACTCTTCAGACAGTTGGTGACTTCTGTGCACTTCAGCGTGCACTGACCCCACTCTGTCATTACTGCATTGCTGTTGTTCCCAGTTGCTTCCACTTTGTTATTGTACCACTAACAGTTGACTGTGGAATATTTAGTAGCAAGGACATTTCATGGATTGACTTATTGTACAGGTGGAAAGCTATCATGGTACCATGCCCAAATTCACTGAGCTTCTGAGAGCGACCCACTCTTTCACAAGTGTTCCAATACATTTGGCAATACAGTGTGTGTGTGTGTGTGTGTGTGTGTGTTAGTGTTAGTTATTGCTCAAAAAAAAATTAAAGGAACACTTTGAAAACACATCCGCTCTCAATGGGGAAAATATTATGCTGGATATCTACACTAATATGGACTGGGTAATGTGTTAGGAATGGAAGGATGCCCCATCGTTTAATGAAAATTATCAACCTACAGAGGACTGAACTCAAAGCCACCCCAAAAATCAAAGTGAAAAAAATAATGCAGTAGGCTAGTCCATTTTGCTGAAATTTCATTGCAGAAACTCAAAATGGTACTTAGTAGTATGTATGGCCCCCACGTACTTGTATGCCTGCCTGACAACGTCCGGGCATGCTCCTAATGCGACGACGAATGATGTCCTGGTGGATTTCTTCCCAGATTTGGACCTGAGCTCCTGGACAATCTGAGGTGCAACCTGGCAGTGTCAAATGGATTGAAACATGATATCCCAGAGGTGCTGGATTTAGGTCAGGCAAGTGTGGGGGCCATTCAATGCTATCAATTCCTTCATCCTCCGGGAACTGCATGCTTACTCTCGTGACATGAAGCCAGGCATTGTTGTGCACCAGGACCCCCTGCACCAGAGTAGGGTCTGACATTGGGTCCAAGGATTTCATCCCGATACCTAATGGCAGTCAAGATGCCATTGTCTAGCTTGTAGAGGTCTGTGTGTCCCTCCATGGATATGCCTCCCCAGACCATCACTGACCCACCACCAAAACGGTCGTTCTGAATGATGTTACAGGCAGCATAATGTTCTCCACGGCTTCTCCAGACCGTTCCACATCTGCCACGTGTTCAGGGTGAAACTGTTCTCATTTGTGAAAAGCACAGGACGTCAGTGGCGGAGCTGCCAATTCTGGTGTTCAATGGCAAATGCCAATCAAGCTCTATGGTGCCAGACAGTGAGCACAGGGCCCTCAAGGCACCCGCATGATTTCTGTTTCTGATTGTTTGGTCAGAAACATTCACACCAGTGGCCTGCTGGAGGTCATTTTGTAGGGCTCTGGCAGTGCTCATTCTATTCCTCATTTCACAAAGGAGCAGGCACCGGTCCTGCTGATGGGTTAAGGACTTTCTACGGCCCTGTCCAGCTCTCCTAGAGTAACTGCCTGACTCCTGGAATCTCCTTCATGCTCTTAAGATTGTGCTGAGAGACACAGCAAACCTTCTGGCAATGGCATGTTTTGATGTGCCATCCTGGAGGAGTTGGACTGCCTGTGCAGTCCAGGTATCTCCTTTTGCTACCAGTAGTGACACTGGCCCTAGCCAAATGCAAAACTAGTGAAAAACAGTCAGAAAAGATGAGTAGGGAAAAATATGTCAGTGGCCTCCACCTGTACAACCATTCCTGTTTTGGGGGTCATCTCATTGTTACCCATCTAGTGCACCTGTTTGTTAATTTCATTAACACCAAAGCAGCTGAAACTGATTAACAACCCCCTCTGCTACTTAACTGACCAGATAAATATCCCAGGAGTTTAATTGACTTGATGCTATACTCTGATTAAAAAGTGTTCCTTTAATTTTTGTGAGCAATGTATATTAGAGTATTAAAAAGTTCAGAAACGTTTTGAACGTGTGTGTGTGTGATGTTTTTTTATCTATTATGGTTATGTAACCCAAATTTTTTGTTTTGTTAACCTGGAAAACAGATCAAGTGACTCGTCAGTCTACTGTTTTGGGTCAGCTCTCAACTGCTAGCAGCAGCAATGCCTCTTCACCTCAAACTACAGAAGAACCACTGCCACCAGCAGGCCTGCAACTACCGCAACCACAAGAAGAAGCAGAAGATGCTGAAGGTAGAAGCAGTTCACTCCTTGTGGCCCCCAGTATTTTGCAAAATGAAGCCTTCTCCAGCCCCGGTCAAACAGAGCCCTCACCCAGTAACTGTTCTTTGAACACTGTTGTTTGAAAGAAGAAAGCACATGAAATCCTGGGAATGACGTATAATCAATGCTGATGGAGTGCTGGCCTGAAGAACTGCTGGAAACTTTTTAGTACTTATTTCAGGATGCTTTCAGAACAAAATTTTTTACCTTAGAATGTTTTTTTTTTTTTTGCCTTCCCTTTAACCCTTTTGCTACCTAAAATGTTTCTGCCATTTCACAAAGGGCCCCGGGCAGATCATGTGATAAATAGGCAGTTTACATCTTGTCTTTAAATTTTGATTGATTTATCATGTAAATATTACATTTCAAGTGCTGCACTTTCTCCATTCCCACCCTAGAGTGTATGTGCGTGAGAGTGAGAACGACAGTATCTTCTGTAGAGTTTTTATACATATTTTGGGATTGAATTTTGCTTCTTTCGGACACTTGAACAACTTGCAATAATCAAGCAAGAACTGCAATCATGGGACCCTTGAACATGCTGTAAATTGAGCTCCAGCACGATGGAAGATACAAAGAAGTGCACAGAGAGTTTCAGGACAAGTGACTTGTTTGGCGTTCACTTTAAGATGTTACATTGCCAAGAAGTCTTTGGCATTAATGGATTTGTTATGGATTGAATACTTTTCCTTTATCCCTCCCAAGCACGCAACAATATAATTGTGAGACCTTTGTATGTGTGACAAACTTGCATCTGTTTGTAGACTTCCAAGGAGTAGATGATATCTACAGTTGGGACCAGGAGCTGTGTTTTTTTTTTTTTTTTTTTCATTAAAGATAAAGACTAGTTAATTTTCACTCCTGCTTTGAACATATAGATATGTACATTTAGTGTCCTTTTTGCCTTAGTTGAAGCGATACTCTGCTATCTCCAAACAAATTGCATCATTACCATATCACTGCATGATGACCTATGAGATGTTATGACTGACCTGCTGGATTGGTGAAAGCACGTCAATTCGAAAACACTGCCAATTGGTTACAGGAGAGATTGTCCTTTGAACTTTTCACTTTCATTTCACTTTTACAGTCCTAACAATTAAATATGTGGTCTGTTTTGGGAAAAAAGATTGCTTTTCAAATGTGGTTTCTTATTTCAAGGGTTGTTCCAAAAGAAAAGTCTACTTAAAGGAGAAGTTTGGAGAACCAAATAAAAACAATTCTCACTCATCTCTATGCTGCTGCATTAGTGTGATGCTGAAGGTGTTCCATGCTGCCTTTAAGCCTGGGAACTGAGCAATCACATGACCACCTGTTTCTTCAGTTGTCAGTCTGCTCGGAGTAGGGAGCAGTGACTTGTCAATCACCGCTTTCTGCTCTGCCTCCTCCAGCATTCACTAGAGTGCTTGAACAGGAAAGGGGGCAGGTGCAGCTGGCTTTGCCCCCTTAGCTGCAAGCAGAGGCCTGAAGCTGGCTGTCAGTTATTCAGCTGGGTGGATCCCAACAATTTGATTGGGATCCTTTAGGAGCCTGTAGCAGCTCTGTGATGTAAGGTGATAGCAGGCAAAAGCCCTCTATCAGCTGATACTGGGTCAAGGAGAGCAAAAGTGCACTCCTGTGACCCAGAGGAGAAGTATGTCCTAAGAAGCTTTGGTCATACTTCACTTCTAAAGTAGCACATGCTTATCGTGTACTTGGCAAAAATGGATCTAATGTTTTCTGCTCCTTACCAAGAAGCACATTTTGGAAGGTATTGATATGAATTGCTAAGTGATATTCATGTATTTGCTGTAATGATTACCATTTTCATCTGTGATATTGTTATTTTGAACTCCCGTTCTTAAAAATGAGGTTAATTATGGAAAATAATGATCATTATACCTTAATGAATTGAGCTTTCCCTTGTTCAAAAGTATATCTCACTGTAGCTGTTTTCAGTCTTCAAAAAAGAGGAACTCAGTTGCTATTGGGTGCAACTCCAAAGTTGTGTCATAAAATAATCCTGTAGGCTGGGCGTCAGTAACCCGTCGATTGCGGGGAGCTGACAGGTCGATCCTGACCATGAGACCGTTGCGCTCATGTTACAGGCAGAGCAGGGGGCAGCATAGTGCTGGATGGAGGGTGGGGTTGGGGACGGAAGCTGCTCAGTGATTGGTTGCTAGTCTGTCCTAGCAAATAATCACCAGCTTGGTATTATGAACTCCAGCAGCTCCTGCTCCTGCCTTCCACCCAGCACTGTTGTCTTCCGATCTTCTGTACACACGCTGACAGGTAGGCAGTGCTACACGTGTGAGTGTGAGATATGAAGGGGATACAGAAGATAGTATGGGGGGGGGGGTAGGATACACTGTGGGAGTGGTGACACAGGAGACTCTGTGGGAGGGGCGACACAGAAGACTCTGGGGGGGGCTTAGACGCTGTGAGATGGGAGGGGGGCTTAGGAGACATGGGATGGGGGGACACAGGAGACTCTGAGGGGCTTAGGAGATGCTGTGAGATGGGGGGGGCTTAAGAGACACTGGGGGGACAGAGTAAACTACATGGGGGGGTTGATGAGAAAAGGACAGGGGACACTGCTTTGGGGGATGGGGAGGCAGGGGACACTTTGTGGGGGGGCAGAGAACACTATGGGGCAGGGTAGAGGACACTACACAGTGGGGGGAGGGCGGGCGGTGATGTTAAATGGGGCAGAGGACATTACATTGGGCGTTACAGGACACTATAGTGGGGGGTGATGTAAGGGGGGACAGAGGACACTACTGGGGGGGGGGGGGGTTAAATGCACTGCCTAGACAACCCCCCCGGGATCTTTGCTTTACTCCATGTTGTCCAGGTAGAGCTCAACCTCTGAAAGTAGTGCTCCATAGGCTCTGCCACAGTGTTTGTCACCATTTTAAACTTTTTTTTATTAAATGTTCACAGAGAACAGCTAACTTGGCTATTTACAGTGGAACAGAATTATTATAAGTAGTTCATCACAAAGTAGGTACATAGCTAACCTCAAATCTTTTGCCCACCATAGGAGGACACGCACATTTGCCCACCATAGGAGGACACGCACATTTGCCCACCATAGGGGGACACGCACATTTGCCCACCATAGGGGGACACGCACATTTGCCCACCATAGGAGGACACGCACATTTGCCCACCATAGGAGGACACGCACATTTGCCCACCATAGGGGGACACGCACATTTGCTTCTCCGACATCTTCATGTTGATGCTTGCCGGATGCTGTACTGCCTGTTGCTGAAATCTTCAGCATTCCATAGAGCTGTATTTGCAATCTGTGCCCATCATTAACTTTAGTGGTTTGCCTGTTTGAAGCTGGCAGAATGGCTTTCCATTAAAGTGGAAGCAAAGGCTCACTTGTGGGCAAATCAGAAGATTGCCACCTTGTGCAGAGGCCGTACAGTGACGACATCAGAACAGTGGAGTTGTAGGTCAGTATAGAGTATATTGAAAATGTTGGTGGATACAAAATGGTAAGTAAACATATATATTTATTTAGTACTTGTAGATGACTTAAAGTGGAACTAAACCTTCAGCAAAAGAAAAAAAAACTTGCAAACAGGCGGCTTTTTATTGCTGAAAAGACATGACTGAAACTTGCATGCCTGGTTGCAATCTTCTCTTGAATGTGTAATGAGCTGTGCATGTGAACTGCAATGTGATTTTTGAGCACGGTGCTAGTGTACCGGAATGAATGGATTCACGTCTTCCTCACCAGCCAAGCAGGAGGCTGAAAATCAAGCACCCAAAAAATGTCAGCATGGGATCCAGCAGACATAGGTAAATATTCTACAGCCTGTAGTTCCATTTTTAAATCTGAAATGTTGGCATTGCATTCTTTACATTGGCCCACCTTGTCCAGTCAGAGAGCGCTTTGCATTTATTGACAAAATGCAGTGTTCCATGGATGGTGCCTGTGCTGAATGAGTGACCTTACAATGCAGCAGGGCAGCCTTGCAGCATGGGCTCCAGAAGCTAGCAGAGATCACTGTAGTAGTGGTGCCAGGTGTAGCACATACATACATACAGTCATGGCCGAAATTGTTGGCACCCTTGATATTTCTCCAGGAATCATGTATTTCTCACGAAACGTATTGCATTAACACATGTTTTGCTATACACATGTTTATTCCCTTTGTGTGTATTGGGACAAAAGAAAAAAGGGAGGAAAGAAAGCAAATTCGACATAATGTCACACAAACCTCCAAAAATGGGCTGGACAAAAGTATTGGCACCCTTTCACAACTGCGGATAAATAAGAATGTTACAAGCATGTGATGCTCCTGTAAACTCACCTGGGGCAAGTAACAGGTGTGGGCAATATAGAAATCACACCTGAAAGCAGATAAAAAGGAGAGACGTTCACTTAACCTTTGCATTGTGTGTCTGTCTGTGCCACACTAAGCATGGACAACAGAAAGAGGAGACGAGAACTGTCTGAGGACCTGAGAACCAAAATTGTGGCAAAATTCTCAAGGTTACAAGCCATCTCCAGAGAACTAGATTTGCCTTTGTCCACAGTGCGCAACATTATCAAGAAGTTTGCAACCCATGGCACTGTAGCTAATCTCCCTGGTCGTGGACGGATGAGGAAAATTGATGAAAGATTGCAACGCGAATAGTCCGGATGGTGGATAAGCAGCCCCAAACATGTTCCAAAGACATTCAGCTGTCCTGCAGGCTCAGGGAGCATCAGTGTCAGCCGCGAACTATCCGTCGACATTTAAATGAAATGAAACGCTATGGCAGGAGACCCAGGAGGACCCCACTGCTGACACAGAGACATAAAAAAGCAAGACTACAGTTTGCCAAAATGTACTTGAGTAAGCCAAAAGCCTTCTGGGAAAACGTCTTGTGGACAGATGTAGAGCTTTTCGGTAAAGCACATCATTCTATGTTTACCGAAAACGGAATGAGGCCTACAAAGAACAAAACACAGTACCTACGGTAAAATATGGTGGAGGTTCAATGATAATTTTGGGGTTGTTTTGCTGCCTCTGTCCTTGACTGTGTGCAAGGCATCATGAAATCTGAGGATTACCAAAGGATTTTGGGTCGCACTGTAGGG